TGTCATGGATGGAAACGTTTGTTCCTGTTAGTAATGGGAAAACCAACGAATGTTATGTGCAACCCTCTGAAACAGATTTGTGCAACAGATTCCTAGGTAACAGGCATAGACATGTCCTCACTGCTGCTAAGAGCGAGGCATCAGAGAAAGCACTACAGGATTAACCACCAGGAGTCATACTGGCAGCCTCCCTAGACTATGAAGGCTCGAAGGAGAGCTAGAAAGGCAGATGAGCACGTTGGGGCAAGGGCTGGAGGCTGTACAAAATACAGCAGGTCCCAGCCAAATAGGTTAAAATAGACCAGGCTGTGAATAAGCCAAACTCAGAATATAGTACCTGTTGACATCTCAGTGGACTGAAGCAAATCAACCCATATTGGTTCACAAGGTTGATTCTCTCAATATTAAGGTAACTGAGTATGCAGAGACTATGCAAACAGGATGGTGCTGCTTAATGGCCCAATGAAGTTGACACAACCAAAGCTAATGGAAATCCTGCAGAAGAAACAAGAAGGGAAGCTAGCATAGACAATAAGGATCCCTGCTTTGTATCTGTTTGGGTAGGAGCAGAATCAGAGGGCCAGCAAAGTCACTTCTGACCACCAAGAAGTGGCAAAAAATGTGGCAAAAGGCCAGAGAAGCAGCAGATCCATGGAACAGTTCCTCTGCATTTGTATTAATTCTGCCTCTTCACACCTCCTCAGACCTGAGGGAAGAGGAAGCCATTCTGAAAAGATGACTTTATACACAAGTAGTAAAATTAATGTCAACACCTTTTCAAAAGCAGAAAGTTAAAACCAGCAACTGGAGACTCCAGCAACATGAATTCCATATAAATCACACCATCAGAGAAGGTGAAGTTGTATGGAAAAACCCAAGGCAGGCTAAACTGCAAGAAATCTGTGCAAAAAAGCACAGGAACAAATTATTTACTTCCTCCAAGTATTTCCAGATTTATTGCCTACACCTCCTAATTCCCTTTCTGCAAGGAACAGGTAATGAAAACTGCATGATCCCACTCTAAGTACTCTTTCTTCTCAGACATGTAAACTGAAAGAAGTATATCAAGCTCAGCTGGGTTTTATAGCCTTCTCAGGAGAGTGAGAGCCTTCTTGGGTGATAGGAATATTCTGAAGTAAGGAAATTAATTTTAATGAATTAATTTTAGATCATTATCCACAAAAACCCACTTAGGAAGGGGGCCAAGTGCATCAAGAATTCTGGCAGCAAAGAATTTTTCATCTGTTCCTACCATGACTTCATGATCATCTCAAAATATTACTACACAACTCTACAGTATGAGAATACCTTTGTTCCTTTTTTCCCCCAGAAAGAATACCTTAAAATTATTATGTTGGGGTACCAAAAGACAGTGGAATTTTGAGAGCTGCAACTCTGATTTTAAATATCCACACTTAAACAGCTACTTTTTCCCTCTCTGTCAGAGCTGTGGGCCAAATTTGTTCTTGGCTTAAGGCCACTGAAAACAATGAGCTTGTTTCAATTAAGCTGGTCCAGTATTTATTAAAAGACATCATGAAACATTTGTATCATAGATATAAAAAAAAAAAAACCTCACACAGAAAACCTGGGATATATTAAGAGAAGCGAGAAATAAGATCACTTGGGTTAGCTTGTCATAAACTAGCAGAGCTTCAGTTACTCAAAATAGAGCTATAGAGCAAACTGCCAGAACTGGTTTTGGCACTTAGTTTTTATTTGCCTTACTTGGATACTGCAGATGTTCTGCTGAACAATCACTAGAAAAGGAGGGTATCTCTAGTTAATCTGCACATTTCTTAGCAAAAGAAACCCCAGAAGATTTGGAAGACTTGCAATAGTACCTGATCTCCAGACTCACAAAATAAAAGTTAACTGCACTCTTACCTGCAAACTCAGCCATTCCAAGAGAACATGTCTGACAATAAATCCTCACACTAAGTCCTAACAGTAGTTCCTCAGGATTTCAGATCAAGACCAGCACATATTCCAGGTGTGCTCAACCAGCTCAATGGCAGAAAGGAAATAAATGAGGAGCTATCATCTGTGTGTCAGGTATAAAGTGGACACAAAGACTGCTAGGACTATCATGCAGCTCAGCTGAGAGCCCTGTGAAGAGATGAGAATCTCAAATTTCATTGCAAGAGGCTGCCTCTAGATTTTGTGACCATTTTCATCTCAGGCTCCACCTCATGTTTATGAAAGAAACACTAGCAAAACTCTGATTATCCTTTTAAAAGTCCCTCCTCTGGAAAAGCCTCAGGGGTGGGCAAACACCTGCCTCATCTAATCACTGTTCCCACATTTTGTCTTATTCTCCCCCCAGGTCTGAACCAACTTTTGTCTTACAGGGTAATGAAAGTCAAGAAAATAGTACTATATTGGTGGTTTATTCTTGCTCTCCATCTAGTACTGACACTCCTGGTTCACTACTAATCAAAATACTGATAATAAAAGATTGCAAACGTGAATGAACCACAGCTTCTGGAATGACTGCAGAAAGATGTTAGGGGAAAGTCTTAGGTCACTCCCAGCAACCAGTCTACAAAAGAGGTAACAATCTGCAAAGCAGATCCATCTGTAACAGCAAGTCATCCATATTTTCAACATTTGGCTCAGGAAAACAGATTACATTACAAGACTAACTTTGTGCTGCCATTCAAAATAGATCATTATTTATCTCCAGGAAAAATAAGCAAAAGCTGAAAAATTAATTCAAATACACTTGAAAATACTGTTCTTAGAGAGGGAGGGATGACTACACCTTGCAACTGAGACCCCTGAGTCAAAGCCATCTTTGATACAACTTCATTCAAGATGCTGGCCTAACGTGCCAGCCACTGCCTGTTAGTCATGTCCACAGTAACATTCCTGAAGAACCCTCAGCAACTTGGTAAAATATTTTAGAATGTTGCTTTTACAACATTTAAAGTATTGAAATGAGATTACTTGAAAGAAAGAGATGAACAAAGTCACAAATCACATCATCCTCAGCAACAACTGCTTTGATAGTTGACTGTCTCTGTGAGCAGCCTTCTAGAAGTTATTTTAACCTAAAGTTTTAACCTCATTTTATTAACATCGTACTTCACTGTGCTCAGTCACTTAACATTATCTAGCAGAGGACTACTAAAAATTGGTTGAGAGATCCCGCTTTTCCTACAGAAGCTCTCCTCACTACAATCACCACTACTTACTCTAAACAGCTCACTTCAATGCAGGAAGGTCTTATGGGCATTTTTAATTCAGTGATACCAGAAAGTCATTTACCTACTATTACTGTATCTGAAATTGTTAAAAACATACTTGTACATCTTTCCTGTTGAGCATGTTTAAGAGCATTCTTAATAAGAATAATTAAACGCATTAACTGCTTAGACATCTAAAGCACTGAAAGTATTTTAAGGACCTATTTCTGATTCTTTTCCATACTTTTAGACTGATTGCACAAAGATTTTGCTTGTTTTCTAAGCCTGAAGAAAACTGGCAGGAAGACTTAGAAATACCATGTTAGTATTTCTCTTTCTCATTGAAATAGATGTAAATTGACAAAGTCCCCTTAAGGGCAATGAAACATGCCAAGGAACAAATACGAGTGCTGAAGAGATGTGCTTTCCAACAGGCATGCAGCAAAACTGGAGCAAACAGCTTAAATATGTGCCATTCATTACACCTGCATCCCTCAGGAATAATTACGCTGACATAGTGCATGAATTTATAAAAATGACGGCAAAATGTGACATATTTGTTTCCAAAAGCTTTGAAAACACTTGCTTTATAAAAGTCATTTCCCCAGAGATTCCACTGGAGCGAGAAGACTTGGAAGAACAGCTCTTGGTTTCGCTGAAGAAAACTAAGCTTTTAATCTTTGAGAAGATTAGCACTTGTAACTACCACCTGATCGGGATGAGGAAATTCTACTGGTGCAATTGATTATAAAAAGAGCAAAGCAGAATCAAGCCTTTCGTATTTATGAACAGTAGAAACCCCTCTGCTATTAAAGCCTTTTCAAAAGATTTCTCCTCAGTCACACAGGAAGAGTCTAAATCCTTAAAATTTTAATCAAAAGAGTAGCAAATGCAGTAGAGAAACACTGACTGACAAGAACCCACGTTTTAACTGGTTTTGTTAGAAGTTGACTTGAAATAAACATGCTTAAAAAATATTACACTACTTCCATTAATTCATTATTGCATATGTGCTATAAAAGCCTAAACACAAAAATTATTGTACAATCTTAATTTACATCCCAATGTAACAAAGAGGGTTTTTTGAACTGCTGCCTGTACATCAGTTGGACACTTAATTTAGGGTACAGACTTTCCAAAGGACTCTTTCCTTCTCTACAGTTGAGTGGGCTAACAATTTCAGCATCCCAGTTGCAGAAAATCTATTACAACAGCAAAAAGAAAAGGAAATATTACAAACATTTAAAAAGCCTGTGATCCCTTACTAATCTGTTCAAACATTAATTAGGAACAGCAAGAGAAAATCTGTGTTTATGTCATAAAATTGTCAGAATGACAGATCATAAAGTCACTGCTTCTGTATGTCAGCTTGGAATTTAAACCACATTTACTAATTCACTAGTCATGAACCTTCATACAACACTTAACAGCTTAATCCTTTAATTTCTCCCATCACTTTTACTTAGTTACGAGGTGTTGTAGGTTGGAACCCTTGCAAGTGAGGATCTGAAAGGTCAGCTTTTAACAGAAAGGCTTGAGACGAGGCTAAAGAAGAAGGCAAGGCAGTCAGTTCAGAGATACCGATCATTCGGTCAGAGTTAGGGAGGTGGTGCACTGAACGCGGGCGGACTTTGCAAAAACTGATCAAAGTCGAGTACACGGAAGGCACAAAGGAACTTCGGAGCAGAGGTGTACGGCAATTAAGAAAGCCCAAAGCACGTATCTCTGAGGGGGGTGGGAGGTGTCTGGTTTTCGGCCCAAGGATGCCGAAGCCCCACACGTTTGACGAGGCACCGGGACCTGCACACTTACCGCGCTCACCAGCTCCGTGCCCAGACAGAGGAGCCCCAGCACCAGCAGTACCCTGTGGGGAGGCAAACGGACACAGTCACCCGGGGGCCAGGCCGGGCAGAGAAGGGAGGGGACCGCGGCTCCTTGGCACTCACTCACCCTGCGCGCCCCATGCTCCAGGCAGCGTTGCGGGGCCAGCGGACAGGTCGCAGCCCAGTTACCGGCTCCGCACCGCTGGAGGAAGAGGAGGGCCCGCCGCCGTCACTCGGGGGGGCGGGCGGGCGGGCAGGCCCCCTGCGCGGCGCGGGCTGGGCACAGCGCGCTCACCCCCGCGCTGCGGCCGCTTCACCGGCTCCTTCCCCCGCCACGGCAGCGGACCTGTGGAGCGGCCGCGCTGCCCGGTCGGGGTCGGTCCCGGCTCGCTCCCCCTCAGGGCCCCGCCGCTGCCCGCCGTGTCGCAGCGTGCCCGGGCAGAAAGTTCGCGGTGTCTCCGCTCACCTGAGCGGGACGGGGCGGGACTGAGGCAGGCTGAGCACCCACCGCAGCCCCGCGCCCCAGGGTGCGACCCGGCTCCACCAGCAGCTCTGCCGGCCCTAGCACACTTGAGGTGCTTCCGGTGGGGAAATAGCCCATGTCCAGCGGCTGCCCACCCGGTGGAGGGGCGGGGCGGGGAGAGGCGGGCGCTCGCCCGCCCTTCGAGCCGACAAAATCCCGGCGCCCAGGGGCAGGGTGACGGTCGTGGGGAGCTGTGGTCCTCTCAGAGCGGGGCGCCAGCACCCTCCGCTGCCGGCTGCGCTCCCGCCCGCCCCTGGTGCGGATGAATACTGTTGGCAAGTAGTCCCGGGAGGACTTGAGCCGGGAGGAGCGGGAGAGCGCGGCAGAGAGGCGGGTGCTGGTGTCGGGGCGGCCGGCGGGAGCCGCCTGAAGGGAGCCGCGCTGCCCTGCCTGGCTATGCCCGCGCCGCAGGGCCGGAGCTCCTGAGCGGGCAGGATGGAGCCTCGGTGGTGGAGCAGCAGCCTGGCTGCCGGCTGTCTGGTGCTGCTGCTGGGCTGCTGGGGACCGGAGGCGGCGGTGGCGGCGGTGAGTGTGAGGCGCTCTCCTTGTTTTCAGGCGCTCCCCGGCGGCGCTGTCCCTGCCGGGCGCGGCGGCGGTGCGGAGCTGAGCCTCGGGGGGAGCTTTTGATCCCCTTCAGCAGCTGAGGGTGGGCTCCCCGCCGGTCGCGCTGGGGTTGGAGGGGTTGCAGCGGGCCCGGTCTGTGACAGGAGCCGACGGGGCCGGGCCTCGCGGCAGGGTCTCTCCTCAGGTGTCGGGGCCCGGTGGTTCTTGCTGCTGGCCTCGGCCCGGCTCCCCGCGGTACCCGCCTGTGCGCGGTGGGGGAAGCCCGGGCGAGCTTTGTGTGTCCTGGACCCACTGCTCCTCCGGGACAAAGGAGGAGGAAATTCTCCCGTCTTCTCCCCCATAGAAGAGCTGTCTTGGCAGCGAGCCTTCACCTACATCTGCAGGTCACACCTGGACGCGGCAGGGAGCTGGAGGCTTGTGGGCATGGTTTGCCAGAAGACTACGCCTCAGACTGTGACTTGGTTTTGCTTAGGGTTGTATTTCTCCTTCCTTAAAACCCAAGCTGAGATGCTAGGGGAGATGGCAGATGTGTGCGCTGCTGCAGAGGGTGCATGGTAGGTGGCCTGGAGAAGAACTTTGTTTTCTGCCTTTGGGAGAGGGATGCTATCTATCCCAGTTGTTCTGGAGTGCCTGGGCCTTGAAACTGAGAAGGAGGGAGAGGTGATAGCTAGCTTCCCCTTTCCAGCTACTTGACCAAGTTCTTCAGCTGTTAACTAGTGGTTAAATTAACTGAAAGGCATATTAGCATGAGTTAATTTCAGACTTTTACAAACCCCTCCTCTGGCTGTTAACTTTTTAAGAGGGTAAAAGAATCCTGATCTCTGTTGTTAGGATTACGCTGTGCTTGAAAAATCCTATGTTACAGTATGTGTAGAATACTTTTCTGCTACTCTCCCCTGCAATTTTGTTGCTAGAGCTGACAAAATCTTACTTGTCTTGAACTTTCCTTTGAAGCTGATTCCTTTACAGTGAAACTTTGTGGACCTTTCATCTGCTAGTCCAAAAACAAAGACTAGCTATAATATACTGCCTTCATCTTCTACCCCTCCTTCTTACCATGCCCAGGCGTGTACCCAAGTGTAAGTGATACTAGTGTGCCCCTGGTACTTGGTGATTTGGAGAACTGCTTTGTCTCCACTTGGTCTGTGATACTTGTTCTGCTGCTCTGAGTACCATCTCACCCCATGCCGTCTGCTGTGACTTTCACCTCCGAAGAAGGATCTGGCCAAGCCCACCTAGAGGGCTTTGCTGTTTTAGCAGGCGAGGGTTTAAGATGGGGAGGTCTGTGTGTGTAGCCCTTTGCTTTTTTTCAGGAAAGTGCCCCAGCAGAGTTTTGCACATTGATTGATGGGAATCTGCAAGGTCTGGGAAGGGGACTGGGCTGGGCTGATGCTGGAGGCAGTCCTCTGCCTCAGGAGAAATGAAGGAAGGAGAAAAGACAATGGTGGAGTTCCTGGTTCTTAACACCACCTGTGCTATACAGCCTCTGTTTTGGGATGAGTCCCTTGAGGGTTTACTAACCCACAGAGAGGTAAGATTAACTGAAGACCCAGTGGTTAGTGGGGGTGGGGAAAGAGTGACACTGCCTTTCCAACCTATGTAAATCCCCCTGACATTGTAATGGTTTCTCAATGCTTTGGTGTTCTGATGTCCTTGAATCCCCTGTGATGATAACAGTGGGTAATGATGTTCTTTATCAATGAGGATCACTCCTTTTCTCCATGTCAGAAAAGGATGAATTAGAACTGTGGCAGAATGCTTGATACACACTGTCTGTGGCTTACTAAAAAAAATAAATTGCCAAAGCTTTGTACTCCAGTAAGCATGAATTTCATTGTTCTGATTTTATTGCTGGATTTTCATAGCCAATAACCTGAACTTGGTGAGTAGTATATGGATCATGCTACATGCTGTAGTGCACACTTCACACAGAGTGAAGTGTGTAGCTACTGATGAATATCATAAAAGCAGCTGGCAGTTTGAGAATCATCTTTAGAGTGGGAGAATGAATGAGGTGGAAGATGTTGTCACTCTTATAGAAAAGTGATTGCAAGTAGTGACTGGGAAGCCTCTTTAATTAAAGAACATAGATTTGGTTCTTGAATTGTGCTGAGCTTAGTGACTGACTTGGTTTATATTGAATAAACTCACCCTCATAGTTAAGGCCTAGGTTTTTAGAGTGTAAATAGACTTTGTCAGCCCAAAAGTTATTAAAAGTGAAGTCACTTCTGCAATGTCTTCTTACTGTGCCTTCTGTTATAACTCCAGTTTGACTGGAAGCATGGGGGCAAAAGCAGCTGATCAAATATGGAAAGGAAGGCTGGCAAGATTGGTATCGTTTGTGTTTAAGAACATAATGTAGTATTCGTAAAAGTTCTCTAGGTTTAGTTCAGATTTCCTTTCCTTTCAGAGGTTACATGCCATCGTGCCAGTAATTGCAGTGTACTTGATTGATATGGCTGACTTGTAAATGGCAGTCATGCATGTTTCTCTTGCTTGTCCTATTTTTTTCATGGTATTGGTGGTGGCTTCCCATTTCATAACTGACTGTGACTCTTTCTAGTTATGAAAGCTAGGTCTGTAAAAGCAGAAAGAATTGGATGCTTGCTTTAAGGATTCAAAAAGTATTTCCTCCTGAAATTCTGTGGATGTGTCTTGATTAGTCATGCACAAGATGCTCTCTGTTGTATAACATAAAGGCTCTAGCCCTCCTGCTTGCAACTTGTCGTGTGTTTTGCTTTTGAGCTTTCATGGCTCTTGGTTAAAGATAGATAATAAAAGTTGTATATCAAGGTGTGTTCTGGCACATACTAAAATACAAACAAATCAAAGGAATCCTGAAAGAAACCCAGTGTAAGAGCCATTTGGACCACAAGAGGATTTTTGTGTCTATGTGCACAAAATCTTTATGGGTCTTATGACATGATGGAAACAGACTGATGGTTTAGTGAAAACTCCTAGGTTGCAAGTACATGAATCTACTCATTGAAAGCAATTTTCTTAGCTACCAATTTTTTGTCAAGTAGACAAGGAAATTTTCCTAGGACAAAGTGTTACCTTAACAACAAATGTAGATTTGCATAAGAATGTTTTTCTACAATGAATAAGTAATAATGCAGTTAGTTGCTGTTGGTTTTACTAGAATAAGTAGACTTTTCTAGATAACAAATCAGTAAGAACACCCCAAGAAATGTAATATGCACGTTCTCTCTGGGGCAAAGTGCAGTAATGTGGCTGTTCTGCCCCTGCAGTGAAGATGCATTGTGCATTTTTACCTTTCATTTGCTTAGATTAAAATGCTTCCTTCTCTAATCACCTTGATTTGTGTAAACTCTCCACTGATATCACCACATAACAAGATACCTAGATAACTCACACATTCTAGGAACAGTATTACGCAAGCGTGCTGAATGGAAAGCAGCTTCTGCTGGTAATGATATTTCCAGACAGATTGCTTTGAATGAAGACACTTTGCTTATCTGTTCCAGAAGGCTGTATGGACACAGTGTGTTTAAAACTACTGGGGTGCTTTTAAGTTCTTGCTACATGCAGTGTTTGCCTATCTGGTGCTGACAGCACTTTTCTGTACTGTAAACCGTCTCTCCTCAAGAGTACCTAAAACGAAGCTTGTTCAAGAGGTGTAGTGCTGGTACAGATTTAAGGATCCTTCAGCAGCATCGTCTACCCTTCTGTGAAAGCAATGCAGTTAAACCTTATTAGCTATCACTGATACAGTGCAGCTTCTGAAAAAGGAAATGTACCAAGCATCCTGGTTGTTTAATTGCAAAGTCTGTGGTATGTGGAGGAAAAGCTTCAATGTAATGTGAAATTATCAACAGAATAAATGTAGCTGAGCTAAAGAGGGATGGGTACTGTTATAACAAGATTTTAATGCTTATTTACCAAAAACATGCTTTGCCATTGTCTCAAGTCTTTCTTGCAGAGCTTGAGTCTTTTTGGAGAACTTGTGAGGAGATGCAAGAAGCAAAAAAACTGGGGGATATGATCTGCATTTTAGGAAGGATACATATTGTGCAATTAGATAATTGCTAAAGTATATTGTAAATTTAGCAATTCAGGTTAAACATGTCAATGCTTTAGTCTCTCTCCCTCAAAAAGAAATTGTACTTAAACTGTAATGTATTAATAGACGTATCTTT